CATGGCCCTGTATCACTCAGAATTCCACCTGGTGGGGACTCAGCCTCCTTCCACAGAGCAGCCCGGCCAGACTGGGCTTCCTTTCCTGGTCTCTCCCCTGCCTCAGGGGGTCTTCCTGGCTTTCCTCTCACTCCGGGAGCCCATGACCAGCAGGATGCCACCTCCTTTCCCCAGTGAGAGCCTGCTTCTCCGGCCTGTGCGTCCTCTCCTTGCAGCCCATTCCCTGGTGGACCTCTGCGTGGGGAGCCCTCTGAGTCAGGAGGCCCAGGCCTGGGCAAGCCACTTAAGCCCTCAGGACCTCAGTCCCCTCATCCATAAAATGGGTTAACACCACCTCTGCCTACTTCAGAGCACTGAAGGGCAAATGTCTGTTCAAGAAAGGGCAGAGGGAGGGGAAGCACGTGTAAAAACAGGTGGTCCAGACACAGGAACTGTTAAATGCCTTTCCTGCCCCCTCCCTGCAGCCTCTCCCTCTTTTCTGTCTCCAGCACCAGCCCCTTCGCTGGAATGTCCGGGGAAGGAGCACAGCATGTCTCACCAAGAGAAAAGAAAGGGAAAAAAAATTAAAAAGAAGAGAAAAGAAAAGGGAAGCTGACCTTTTTGGGTGCCATTAGCATGAACATCTCTTGGTTCGGGGCTCTGAGCATTTGCCACTCCTTGGAGGTTAAACGAATCCCAATAAATGAGTCCAGAGCTTGCCAGTTCCTGTGGGTCAGTGTCACCCTGAAAACATGATTGTTTCCAGATGAGCCCTGTTCTAACATCGTGTGCACAACAGGCTTTCCCTAGGTGGACGGCACTAGACAGAGACCAATGCTGGGTTGGTGTCTGAAAGCCCAAAACTCTGCATAGGGGGGCTGGACTTGCCCCTGTGTGGCATTCTGCTGCCAGCAGCATGGCGGGGTCCTTAAGAAGAAGCCCCTTCCTTTGGTTTTAGGGGGTTCTGCAGGGTCCGAGTTCAAACGGGCCTTTGGCATTTGGGTAACAACAGAGATGGGGTCTGGTCCAGGCGTGAAAGAATAATAATTTCTATAGCATTTTCTGTGCTGGGCACTATGTGAACCCCCTTTATGAGTGCCGTATGTTTCATCTTCCCCAAATCCTGATGGGTTGGCAGAGTTATTATCCTCTTTCTGCAGACAGGGAAATAGAGGCTCGAGAGGTAAAGGGAGTAGCTCGGGATGACCACCCAGCTGGCAAGGAGCAGAGGCTGTCTGCTTCCAGCGCCTGTCCTCACCCCGCAGGCCGCACCACCCTAAGAGGAAGGGCCAAGAGATGAACTGTTTATATCACGTGGGGGCGGGGGAGGCCTCAGGAGTCCCTATTTAAATGGGGGAAGGGTGTGATGCTGGGTTGGAGGAACCCCGTCCCTTTCCCCCAGCCAGGCCTGACCTGTGGACCATCTGGTGACCAACTATCCTGGTTTGTCTGCAACCTTCCCAGTTCGAGCCCTGAACGTCCCATGTCCCAGTTTGCCCAGGATGGTTGGTCACTGTGGTCTTGGTCACCCCTGGACCAGTTGCAGAGAAGGCTGAGTGGCCCGATGGAGCTGTGTCAGGACAGCCTGGGAGGCCTTTCCGATTACATTAGCTTCTGGTAGCACTAGAGGGAGACGCTAGCCCTCGCCCCCTCCCTTCTCCTTCCTGTGACTCCCTGGGAGATAGTGATTGCTGCAGCCAGTCGAAAGCAGGCTACACCGTGACCTACCAGGAGTGGAACCCCCAGCGGTATAGGGGCTGTCAGCGCCACCTCCAGGCAAGAGCTGAGCAAGGAGGGGAGGCGGGAAGGGGGTCTTGAGTGGTTCAGGACCTGGACTCTGACAGACGGCCTGCTGTCCTGCCCAGGCCAGGACTGATTGCAGGGCAGCAGGAGGTGGGCATGCCAGAAGGGAGAGCCCTGCCTTTCCCCCTCACCATGCCCTGGTATGTGAGGGATGGGGGAGTCCCAGCCACTGGATACCTAAGCTGCTTCTCATACTCAGCGGCTAAAAATACGCAATGGCTTTGCTAAAAGGTGCCCAACGGAAACCTACAGGAGGTTTCCTATTAGGGCCGCGCCTGCTCGGGCTGGAGGCCGGATGCTATGCCTGCCATTCCGACCACCCAGTCCCAGCCTGGTACCTCCTCCCTGCCAGGGCCTCAGCCTCCACTCCATTAACCCATGTGCTTCTCAGGCCCCCAGGGCCTTGCGTTGCCCTCCCTCCCCTGCACCCACTGGGTGGCAGCATTTGGGGTTTGGTCTTGACCCCCAGAGCAAGGCCCAGGTCCTCGGCCACCCAATCGCAGCCTCACCTACTCACTGTGTGACCTTGAACAGGTTGTCTAGCTTCTCTAAGCTTTGCTGTCCTCACCTGCAAAACAAGGAGACCACAGGATCCAGAAGCCCTTGGTGGGAAGGGCTCGCGCTCTGGTTGAAGAAGAGGCCGGCCAGGACATTTGTCTGGAAGCTCATTGTGCTCACCGAGCGGAAATGTTTCTTAGGCGTGGCTGGGGTCCTGCTGGAGATTATGGTACAGTGACTGCAGTGCCCCTTGGTACAACTCCTGCCTACCTGTCAGGGTTGTAGTGACTGGGCAGAGACTCTGCTGGACCCCAGGCTCTCAGCCAACACTGGCCCAGCCTCGGGACCCCCAGCGGGTAGATGCAGACACTGTGTTAGGTCAGGTCGCGATGGGGCCCCACGTCTGAATTTGTAACTGGCTCTCCAGGTGAACCTGTTGAATGACCAGGTCGAGAGTCGCTGACGGGGCCTGGCACAGAGCAGGCCCTCGGCCCCTGTGAACTATGTCCCTCGCCTACTCCTGAGCCTTAGCGGGCTTCCCTGTCACACGGTAATGACCTGCCCATCTCCGCTCTGGGGCTGTTGACAAGCTCAAAGAGAATCCTGGGCAGCTGCAGCTGCACAAACGGGGAGAAGATGGCGAGGAAGCCACCCCCCGTCTGGACTGCTGGCAGCCAGGGGCTGGGCAGTGAGCCATTGTGGTCCCCGGCCCAGAGGCTTCTCCTGCAAGACCAGAAGGAAAATGGTGGGGCAGGGGAGGGCAGTTCCCCCTTGCCCTCCACTCTCTGCCCTTCCCCAGGCCCCACTCTGCAAAAAAGCCTGGGGAACAAATTCTCTCCTTGGGAGATGCAAGTCTGCTAGGCAGGACATAGCCTCCGTACAATGTTCTCCTCCTCACTGGGAATTCTTCCCACAGTAGAGCTTCAACCGGCACAGCCAGGCACTCCGGACAGTCTCTCCCCGTCTCCCTTCTGCCCCAGGGAGGTGACCCTGGCTCAGGCTTTCCTGGACTGCCAGATCGAGGATGGGGGCAGATGGGAACTCTCCCACCTGCCTTTTGGAGGCAACAGATTCAACAGGTTCCCCTTTCCCCCCATCCTTGTTACAGTATCATTCGGGCAGGTGGGCTTATGAACCACAGCCCTTGCCCAGCTTGGATGACCTTGGGCAGTGGCTGAACCTCTGTTTCCTCATCCGCAAAATGGGGATGATAGGACCTCCATAGTGAGGATGTGAGGATTGATAGAGGCTTGAAATACCAAGGAGGTTCTCAAACAGGGCGGCTGGTAAGGGGAAGGTATCAGAAATGCGTGTTCCGGGCCTCAGCCCCAGCATTCCGACTCACTGGTTTCTGTGTCCAAAGTTTGGGAAACAGAAGCCTCGGAGAGGGGGATCCCCTCATCCTTGGCTGTGGAGGCAGATCACCTTGGAGCTTAACAAATGCCTCCAAAGCCCAGGCCACCCCCCAGATTCATAGGATGGGAATCTCGGTGAGTGTCCATGAGGGTGACTCCCTTCCCTGTGAACCTGCTGCCCTTTCCTCCAAGAGACCCCCTCTTTCCAGCTGGCAGACCTAGCTGGCCGGTTGGCATATTTTCTTTGATCCCAGGGGAAACGGAAGGCATTTCCTCTAGTCTCCACATTGATCACCAGCCAGCCCCACCTGAGCACTTAACAGACCTCCAGCGTCGTAGAGGCTCCCCTGAGGATTGGCGGATGAAGGGGTGCTGGGAGGGGCCAAGGGCAGTGGGGGCAGGACTTGGGAAGTAGCTTGCTGCTGAGTCTGGGTTAAATCCTTGATGCAGGGCAAGGAAGGCTCAGGCTGGGGCAGCTCAGGGCACGTAAAGCTGTCGAGTGCCTCAGGACACCAAACAGTTATTGTCAGTGACAGGATTTGAATCCAGTGCTCACTTAGAAGCTCAACCTTTGTTCCTGTCCATGCAGTATACTCTGCCTCACCTCTACTGAATCCCAGGTTCCCAGCCTGAGCTTTTCTGGTCAACATTCAACCTACAGCCCCTATTTATCCATCACTTATGCCAGGCCAAGGGATGCAGTGGGAGGGAACAAGCCACAGTGTGACCTCAGGGAGCCTTGGGTCTAGGATGGGGGCAGACTTTAATCAAAGGGTCACACAAATCTGTAATTACGCAGAGGCCAGCAGAGGGAGGATGTCGGGAAAGACAGGTTGAGGAGGTGACATTTCAGTCGTGACTTTAAAGGCTGAGTGAGCAAGAGCAAGCAATGTAAACAACTGGGAGGGGAAGCGCTGCAGGGGAGGGGAGCGGGCTCCCGGCGCGGGGCAGGACCTGGGTTCTAGCGACCACCCCCGGGGCCTCAGTTTCCCTATTAACGAAGTGGGTGGAAACGTGCCTCACCCTCCCCCATCGGAGGACGGACGGGGGAAGGTGCCTGGGAAAGGACACGAGCGGCCCACCGAGCCCATCCAGTTGGGCCGGGGCGGGGCAGGGGTGCTCGCTGCGGGCGGCGGGGAGGGGCGTGGAGGGGCAGGCGGACCGCGCCTGGAGGCCGGGCTGGCTGGGACCCGCGGGCAGGCGCGGCGCGCAGTGCGTGCGGCTGCGGAGCGCGCGGCTCGCCGGCCGCCGGCATCACATGAGCATCCGGCCCGTGGGTGCCCGGCAGCCGCAGCCCTGCAGCCCAGCGGCCGCGCGCCTCCGCACGACCCTAACCATGTCTGTCTGTTGTTGCTTCTTTTTCAGGGACTATGGCAGTTCCAAGAGGAAATCAGGTAAGGGAGCCTCCGGGCGTTCTTCCCTCCAGCCTCCCCTCCCGCTTCGTGCACGCGCCGCTCCGACCCTGCGGAGGACTTTCTGGGGCTTGTTCTCGCCCGCCTGCCCTGTGGTCCTGTGGGCCAGGGTACTCCCTGTGGTTGCTCCCCTCCTCAGTCCACGCCCCCTAAGACCTCTGGTACTCGCGCCTCCTCCTCGCACCGCGCCCCTCGGGCTCTCCCGGTGGGGGTGGGAGCGGGTGCATGGGGAGTGTGGGGATGCCTGTGAAGGGCCTAAGCCCCCGCGACGTGTGCAGCCGGATCCTCCTCCTGGGCCTGCGGGGCCAACTCCTGGGCACCGCTGTGGTTTCTCCCTCGGTCCTTCCCGCGGTGCGGCAGCGATGGAAGGGTTAATAGAAACGAGAGGCTGGGTTTTCGCCGTGGGAAGGTGAGATCCAGCACCGAAAAGGGGCGGAGGGGAAGGGAGGGGAGTCGTGCTGCAGAGACTGGGTTTTTAACGGCTGCAGCGCAGACCTTCCCCTCCTTCCCCAACTCTGAGCGCGTTCTCCACCGTGCCGGGGTGGAGGCTCTGCCCGATGGGAGGCCACCGACCCACCCTGGCATCGGCCCAGCAGGTGCTGGGCTCACTCCGAGTTTGCGAAGCGGGTGGAGACGGGGAGCGTCGGGGCAGGTCCTTGGACGCTGGACGCTGTGTGCTGGGCGCAGTCGGCTGGGGTCAGAGGAGGATTCTCTCTGGGTGGGGGAGGAGGGACTAGGCGAATGCCAGCACGTGGGCGGGGTGCAGTTAATTGGGAGAGGGTGGCCCCTTGTACTTAGGGCCGTGTGTACTGGGAGTTGGGGCGGGGAAGGGAATGCAGCGATCTGTGTGGGCTTGTGTGTTGTCCGTATTTATGGGGGTGGTGAGTTATGGGGGTGCGCAACCATCTGGGGCTCTGGCCTTGGGGATGTGGGAAGTGTGTATGAACACCTGGCTTACATTAATGGCTCACGTTGTAGGGAGATACTTGTGTCCAGGTGCTTTGAACTGTGGATCAGAAGAGGTCTGTGTGCCTGTGTGTGATGGATGGGCTGTGAATTGGAATAGTTGCGATTGCATGGTGCGTTTCTGAGTGTGGGTCCGTATGTTTTGTGTGTATAAGTGCTTGCTTATATATTCACTGGGATGAGGAAAGATGTGTCCTGGCTTACATATGGGGGGAACATGTGTGTACAGGGGGTTGTGTGTGTTCATGTGGGGCTTCATAGTTGTGTGCTCTTGAGGGTATGTTTACTTGTTTGGGTGTGTGTGTGCCAGTGTGTTAGGATGTATCCAGTTGTGGGTTGGTGTGTGTTTGTGTCTAGCTGTGGGATGAGACTGCGTGTGCACACATGCCTGTCACCTGGGGAGGGGTGCTTCAGGTATGCCCGCCCCTGGTGCAGAACAGCATTTCCTCCATGAACAGGGGGTGAGGCTGCCTCATGAACTTGAGGAAGTGCAGCATCTCCTCAGCTGTCACTTGCAGCCCGAGCCATAGATGGGGGAACCTGGAAGGAGGGGCAAACATGGGATTGCGTTCTGTCACACCGCTCTCCCCAAGAAACTTGCCCTGGGTCTCAGAGGTGTAGTGGCTGGTTGAGCCTGGGCTCAGATTCTTTTTTTATAAATTTATGTATTTTTGGCTGCGTTGGGTCTTCGCTGCTGCACGCGGGCTTTCTCTCGTTGCAGCGAGGGGGGCTACTCTTCCTTGTGGTGCGCGGGCTTCTCATTACAGTGGCTTCTCTTGTTGCGGAGCACGGGCTCTAGGCGCGCCGGCTTCAGTAGTTGTGGCACACAGTCTCAGTAGTTGTGGCTTGCGGGCTCTAGAGCACAGGCTCAGTAGTTGTGGCACATGGGCTTAGTTGCCCCACGGCACGTGGGATCTTCCCGGACCAGGGCTCGAACCCGTGCCCCCTGCATTGGCAGGCAGATTCTTAACCACTGTACCACCAGGGAAGCGCTGGGCTCAGATTCTGGCTCTGTGTGACCTCAGGCAATTTTCATAACCTCTCTGCCTCGGTTTTCTCTTCCTAAAAAAAACACAGATAATGATGGTCTCTACCTCACATGTAGAAGATTCAATAAGTTAATGTGGAAAAGTCCGTAGGACCCAATAACTGCTGTAGAAGTGTCAGTTTATTGTCGTCAGCATTACCTTCTGAAGCCCTGGGACCCTGGGTGAGTCCCTTCTCTACTCTAGGCCTCAGTTTCCAGCTATAAAGTCAAGGGCTGGGCCTCATAACCTCCCAGCTGCCCTACCCTCAATCTCTAAGGCTCAGGTTCTGTGCTGCTTCCTAAGCAAGACAGGGCCCCACCCAGGGAAAGCTCCCCTGGTTTCTCTGCCTTCCACTCTCCAGCCAGGAAAGGGATGGATGGAAAAATTTAATTTACGGTGCTTGTGATAATGGCCACTTAGTGTCATGGTTAAAAGTGCCAGGTCTGGAGCCAGACTGCAGGAGTTCAGAGTCTGGCTTTTCAGACCTTGGGCAGACTTCCTACCCTCTCCGACCCTGTCCTCCCTTCTGTAAATTGGGGATAATATTCTTATCCATCTGGTAAGGTTAATTTTATGTGTCGACTTGGCTGTGCCCAGATATTTTGTCAAGCATTTTTCTGGATGTGTCTGTGAAGGCGTTTGTTTTTGAATGAGATTCACTTTTAAATCAGTGGACTTTGAGTAAAGCAGATTACCCTCCCTAATGTGGGTTGGCCTCATCCAAACAGTTGAAGACCTTAAGAGAAAGACTGACCTCCCCCAAGCAAGAAGGAATTCTGCCAGCACATTTGGACTTGAACTGCAACTCTTCCTTGCGTCTCCAGCCTGTCAGTCTACGCCGTCAGGCTGTGGGCTCACCAAGCCCCCCCAGTCACGTGAGCCAGTTCCTCTCTCTGTCTCTCCCTCCCTCCCTCCCTCACTCGCTCGCTCGCTCTCTCTTGCTCTCTCTCTCTCAATATTCTGTTCTGTTTCTCTGGAGAACCCTGATCAATACACACCTTATATGGTTATAATGAAATTACATAAACTTCTATATGTAAGTGTGCTTGGACCACTGCCTACAGTGAGAACTGGACAGTTCTCCCAAAGTGCTAGCTACTGTTATTATTTAGTGAGCATCTACTATGTGCTGGCAACTTTACATATATTTCTTAATTTGCTGCCCAGAGCCATGTTGCATGGTGGCTGGTAGGATTCGCATTTCACAAATGAGAAGCTGTGTCTCCGAGGGTGGCTGCCCGGAGTCTGTGGCAAAGTGAGGGTTTGAGTTCATACTTTGGGCTTCACTCTGCTCTGTGATGAAGCGTGTGAAGCTTCCCAAGGTCGCTCCAGTCAGGGATGTTTGCGTGGAGAACATGAATGCTTGTTCCCTGGTCATTTCTTGTCACATTTTAGTCCTCGAAGCCCCAGCTCATCCTTGGAGGATCTCTTGGAGGGATCTCCTATTGAGCACAGAGCCAGGACTACAAGGCAGGCCTGGGGAGGGTGGAGTCAACAGGAAGAAAGTTCTCAGGCGGCTGACAGCCTCACAGAGGAGGCAGGACTGGTGACCTTGAGACCCCAAAGACAGTGTAGCCTCAAATTTATTTCTGCTCCTTCGCTCCACAGAACCTGCTCCTTCCCGCATCTTCCTTCTCGCTCCATCCACCCTGTTGCTCAAGCCCAGCATCGGAGAGGTCATCCCTGACTTCTCCCTTCCTCTCACTTGCCCACCTGACCTCCAGATCCACCCCCTTCTCCCACCTCCACCGTCACACCTGTTGGAAGCTCCCTTCGTCTCTCAGGAGGACCCCAGCTTCCTCCTCAGCCTGTCTGCTCCCACCCCAGCCCCTCCACACCGCAGCTAGAGTGAGCTCTTCCACACATGGATCAAATAATGTGCTTTTCTGCCTAAATTCCAAGATTTCCCATCCCACCCAGAAAAACTCCTTATCCCGGGCTTGCAGAGCCGTGTGTGCTTTGGCCCCTGCCTGCCACCCTGCCCCAGGCTCTGCCCTCATCCCCGTCCCCACTTCCCACCCCAGCCCTCTGCTCAGCTGTGCCCATTACCTTCCATTCCTTAAACACTTCGGGTTCGTTCTCTCCACACAGTCTTTGCATTTGCTGTTCCCTCTGCCTGAATACTGTTCCCCATTCTTCCACATGGCTAGCTCCTTAAGATTTCTGCTTGTCACCTCAGAGAAGCTGCCCCTACCTCCACTGTCTAGCTGCCCCTTTAGGTCTCCCTGCTTCTTGCACATCACTAACCGCACTCTGTCTTGTGGGTTTTCTTGTTCATTATCTGGGTCCCACCACCTTGAAGGCAGAGACCTTGCAGCAGGGCTCGCACCAGTAGCAGGGTCCCCTGGTGCTTGTTGAATGGGAGGGTGGATAGAAGAAGGCGTGGGTGCATGAATGACGCTGCAGGTCAGGAAAGAGAGGTTGCTGCAGCCTCAAGTCAAGAACATTATCCGGGAAAAGGAGGAGTTTTTCTGATTAGGGGTGGAGAGCGGGGGCTTTGCTAATCAAGAGACAGCACTTGCGCAAAGATGGGGGAGCAGGACCAAGTGCAGCTTGTTTGGAGACCAGATACTGCAGCTGACCTTATTGAGCACCAGCTGTATGCCGGTACCACGTAAAGTGTTGAGGTTATAGGAATGTGCCTTTCTGCCCTCGAGGGGTTTGCAGTCCGCTCTGGGTGATGAACTGTGCAGACAAGAATGTACTGTTGGACAGGGAAGCAAGGAAGTGGCATGGTTACCTGAGGAAGAGCAGTCCAGGCCAAGGGCACAGCCAGTACAAGGGCCCAGGGGTGGGAGGTCTGCGGCTGGGTGGAACGTAGGGAGGCCAAGGTGTTAGGAGGGGAGAGCAGCCATGTCGTGGGGATGCGGCAGCAGCAAAGACCGTGTAGGGCCTTGCCAGCCATTTTAAGGGTTTTGGCTTTCACTGTGAGTGAGATGAAGAGCCCCTACGGGGTTCTCAGGAAAGGGGGACATAATCTGACTTAGA